AGAAGAAGAAGAAGAAGAAGAAGAAGAAGATTAGAGAGTTGTTTTCACAGCGAAGTGAAGGGAACAGTGAAGTAGAGAGAACCTTAAATGCTTTATGGCCTTCAGTGCATTCAGGAGCTGTGTGGTGGTAATAAACCTGGTCTCTTCCATTCTCTATTTGTGTTGCCTTTCTCATGTTATTTGAATTTTGATCCTTCAGTTTTTCCTATTTATAGAGAAAATAATAGCACTATCCTTTAGGGTTGTGGACATGACATAACTTCATAGACATCAAAAACTTCATAAAACAATACCAGTTGGATACAAAAGTACTAGTGCAATCTTATATTGTATTTGGGTTCAAGATTAACTTTATGTTTGATAATTTGCTAAGACTCACATGACACTGAAAAAATATGACACTTACAGTTATAGTATATTATAGCAAAAAAGATACAGATTAAAATGAGTGAAGGGAAAAGATGCACAGGTGGAGTCCAGGAGAGACCAGGGTCTTCCACATACAGTCTTATGAATAGAGCTCAATTCTCTCAGCAATAATGATGGGCAAGTGTGTAAAATGTCAACCAGGGCAGTTTCCTTGTGTTTAGGTTATTATTGGGTGCTCGGACCCAAGGGCAATATGTGCCTGTACAACTGGCTTCAGCTACTTATTTCAACCTCTATCCCCACTCTCCTGATCAAAGAGGCCAGAATGATAGGTGTGATCTGAAGCTAGGCATAGAAAGCAATCATTCACATAAATCATATTGTTAGCATGAATTACTACCCCTGCCCAAAGCCGAAATATACAAAGACAATCTTAGTTGGTAAGATTTTCCAAGTGCTCAGAGGCGTCAGTTTAAGCACAGTCCTGAAGACTGTTGGATGTGCAGGGTTTGGATAATTCCTATCTGCTGGGTTAACAATTTATATTATCTATGGTATTATATTATATACATATTATATACAAATCATATACATATTAACATATAATATGTATTATGTGCATGTACGTATATATTACATATTTATATATATTTATATACCTCATTTTAACAACCCAAATTATCAAATTTCATGTTTAAAAAATTAAGTTGTAGCATGTGAATATTATTAGACTGTATAATATATAGTTCTTTCAACTTCTGTAATCTAGCAAATACTTAAAGTATTAATCCATGTTATAACTATTTTTAGGAAACAAACCAGTATTATCCCAATATAAAGAACACACCAGAAAATAAAAAGCAGTACTACTATTGCCATAATGGTGGTCCCATAAATTTTCACTTCTGGGTTTGAACTCAGGGTCTCACGCTTGCTAGGTAGGCACTCCACTACTTGAGCCACACATAACCAGTCTGTCTTTGTAAATAACTGTGTTATGTAGGCAGAACTTTCGTTTTACAAGCAAAAAATAAAAGGTCTTGGGAGTTTCAAGAATTCTAGCTTCCCCACCAGTAAAAGGCAGAGCCTGCCTAATTTCACCATCTGATTTCAAAGCCTAGTCTTTACATCATGCAAAATAGTTTCTGAAGACATTGAAAATTAGAAGTTTAAAAAGTACACAGAAACAACTTTAATACAAAAAACTGTCTAACTGTGTGCAGGCTCATGCCTGTAATCCTAGCTGCTCAGGACTGAGATCTGAGGAACGCAGTCTGAAGCCTGCCTGGAGAGAAAAGTCCCTGTGATACTCTTATCTGCAATTAACTCAGAAACCAGAAGTGGTGCTGTGGCTCAAGTGGTAGAGGAACAGGGCCCAGGCTCTGAGTTCAAGTACCTCAACTGACAAAAAAACAACAAAACTATCTATACATATCAAGACAGACGACAATATGTAGACACTAGGTCAGAGATGTGGCTAGAATACATGTCCCTTAGCATCAGTGGTAATTCTGCAAAGATCCCAAAAGGCCAAGGTGTCTCCTACCACAAAATTGTGGTGTCAAAACACAAGAAAAACCAAGCAGACACATACCCAAAGGAAAATACTAAAGTAGTTACTTAGATTGTCTTGATTAAAAAGGGGAATGGAAGATGAAAATGCCCTCAAAAGATGGTTAGGTCTTTGTCCATCCCGGGCAGATGGATGGGGTCCTGGGAAAGGTAAGTGCACCGTTCACCCATTCCCAGCCTCACTTAGCCCCGGAGACAACCAGCTGCAGCAGCGGGGAGTCAAGTCAAGCAGGAACTCATTTATTACCACACAGCAAGCACTTTTCAAAGCAAAAAAAAAAAAAAAAAAAGCGTGGCATGGAAGAGGAGGAAAAGGAACCAACCAATCACTGTAGAGGTCACCCTAACATGGGCCTAAGCTTTCTATACTTTCCCTGCTGTCCAGGAGCTGTTCGTGCACTAAGGTCACTTAGACTGGTTGTGGTATCCAATCAGATTTTAACATAAACAACTCGGGCTCTGCCCACTCAACTCCCTCTCAGTGCCTTCTTTGCTGCCCATGTGCCCTACAAAAGATTGTCTTGATTAAAAAGGAGAATGGAAAATGAAAACCAGTTTAAAAATTGTTGACCAGAAATTGTTTGTAATTTTGTCGTTTTTTCCTTTCTCTCTTGTTAGATCTCAGTCTGTGGTAGAAGCTGGAACCCTGAAACACGAGGAGAAGGGAGAGAACGAGAACACTCAGCCTCTCCTGGCTCTGGACTGAGCCCTGAGTCACTGGATGTGCCTGCACACCAGCCTTCAATGGTTCCAGCTACCCAGGAAGCACACGTATAACTGATTTACAGAGACACAAGCGTTCCACTTGATACAAGATCCTCCACTCCTACCCTCGCAATGACTGTCACTAGCCATCCATTTGAGCAGCCAAAGTTGGACAAAGATTTGAGAGATTCTTTTTCTTCTTCGTTTTTTAAGTGAAGGGATGGGAGGATGAAACAAGACATTCATGTAATAAAGAGAAAGATTCTCCCACCTTACATGTTTATGGTATCAAATGAATTTGAAAAGTAAAAAACGCTAAATTTGATGCACACACTACATTAGGACTAGGATTTCTCTGAGGACTCACACAAGGTTCCTCTCCAGTTTTTACAAATTAAGATAAAGTGCATTTAAGTCCATCAGTTAAAACTGGGCAGACATGATTGTCTAGTTCAATAGAGTACAGAACTCTGAGATCATAGTATCTCCAGTAATTTCCATTCTTATTGAATTTTCTCTGACCTCATCACCAGCATTGAATTTTTCAGCTAAACATGTTCTCATAGAGCTGGCTATTTATAAAATTTTCTTATTTCGATATCCTGCAAACAAATGCTTTTGGCATCACATCTTTTGTCAGGCCACCAGCTGACTTCCATGAGGTGTCTTTTAAAGAAGACACTTGTAATTTGCAATAAGATTATTTTATCATAGCAGCATGATTTTCCACGGGCATCCCGAGAACCCATCAGTACAGTGTGTGTCGGCAGAGAGGCAGTGTCTTGTTGAAAACACATGTCAGTGTTTAATGAATCCATTCAAGCTGACTCACTTGGGTCACTACAGTAAAGACAAGTTCTACCAAGCCCTTTAATCTCCTAGCCTCCTACAATCATCAAAGTATGGAGAAAGGGCCCAGCTACTGCTGAGACAGTCAACCATGGAGGCAGACCTTAAGGATAGGTAAAATGAAAGTATAAAAATAAGAGAAGATTAGGAATGCAGGATGAAATGCCAAAGATCATTTTATTGCTTTACCTATTCTCCTTAGAAACAGACTTCCAACTACCCACAGAAAGAAAATCAATTATGAAATAAAGTTATATCATAGATACAAAATACTTATTTATGTGTAACATTTCCGAAAACAAATTGTACCTTTTCTGATATCTCTTATTTGCCCAGCCATCTTTATCTTGTGGACATTTATTAGGATGACCAATTGGTGCTCAATGTCAGGGGGAAAAAATCTAGTTGTTAATGGGCAGGAAAATATGAATGCATTTTAAGTATTTGAAAATATGAATTAATAACTAAACAATTCAAAGGAAGGGCAAGTCATTCAAATAGGTACTATCATTCCCAAAAGATGTTGTATATCATAACCACTTATCACTCTCTTTTCCTATGGATTTGCTGATTTATCTCTTTTTTTCTTTCTGGTAGAGAATAATAACAGATGTCACATTTATATTCTACCCATGAAGAACTAAAATCAAGAGAATTAAAGGTATTTTTCCAAAAACTACATCACAGTATAAATAAGACCAATTAATTTTGTGAAAATATATCAACTCACAAAATAATAATATCTTGAAATAATACTCTCCATACAGTGGCTGAAATAGTTTTCTTATGTGTGAAGACATAAATAAAGAGAAATGGAGAATTAAAGTGAATTAGAAAATCCATTTTATTGCTTGGGATTATAAAACACATGTGGGATCCAAGTATTCAAAATACCATTGGAGCTGATGATTGCCAGCCCTTTGGAACTAATAGTGTTTCTGATTTTTAATTGGCAATATTTAGAATCCTACTGTAGTGACAGGATTTTAAATATCATATTATACTTATTAAGTCAAGAGGTAGTTATTACTCTTAAACAATTTCATCATATGAATGTAAGATGCTGGTCCAACAATGAGAACTTAGTTAGGGTTTGAATTTTGTTATGTGTATGCAATATACATAGGAGAATAAAATTCAACAAGTGAGATGAATGTTACTACATGAACACTGGATTGTATTGATTGTCCTTTGTCAGTCATTTCCTCTGTTTAATAAATATTGAAGGACACAGCATCCTTTTATTTTTCAAGAGTTTTTTTTCTTTTGGATTTTGGTAATGAACCTAGATATATTTCTGTTTTAATGGGATTTTTTAAGCAATGACAAAATCAAAGGTACAAAATAAATATTGTAGGAACAGAAAAAATGATTTGTAAACTCTTGTACTAAAAGGCAATGTCTATAAGGTCAAAAGTAAGGGTCAACTTCATGCCAAACAATTTCCTTCTATGAAATAAAGATGCTTTTCCCCTTAGATGCAGAAGAAAACACTGGTGTTTTTCCTACTTGTGCATGAAATCTGGTGACCTATATGCCATGTCTGCAGCATTTTTGTTGTTGTCTTTGTTGTTCAGATTGGCTTGAAATTCAGTGCATGAATATCTTTACAATCTTAAAGCTAGCACTTTAAGTTAGCTTTAATTATAAAATACAAAATCAAATACATTAAGACTTTGCTAAATCAATGAATGGGTCATCATACTTACAATGGGTAGGCAAGATGACTTTCAACTGCTATTTCTACACCAGAGGTAATATTTAAAAGCAAATATGGGTATAAATTGCTATTTCAAAACAGTGATTACATGGCAGCAGTTCTTCAGGCCTGGGGGATGGAAGTCTCTTTAAACCCTTTCAAAGAGGAAAGCAATCTTGACTTTTTTACTCCCAAGACAAAGACCCTAGCACATTTGGGAACCATCTACTCTGCTCTTATCGTATTTACAAAATTGTGATGAAAATGGTCTCAAGGAGCAAAGGGCTCTCTTCTTATCACTCCCATAAATCTACCCACAGGCAAAGACACTGCAGATTTCCAGGCTCTGTGTCACAGGCTCTGTTGAATTCCAAGACACAAATTTTACTTCCACAAATTTTATACGCCCTCCCAAAACTAATACTTTTCACTAAAAAAAAATTGTATAGGTGGCATTTTTATACCATAAAAGCTGGTACAGTTCATAGATACTGGCATCACTACGTTTTCTTTCTGCATTAAGAACATAAAATAGTCTCTCTCATGAAGGTCTTTTCCTAAAAAGAAGTAAGAGAGAAGTCTGAGTTTGTCAGGAAGGTTGGCATTCAAAAGCTAGCAGTAAAGTATTTACACAGCTTGTCCCTAAAGCCAGCATGAAGGTAGTGAGTGGTTCTTGATGGCAAAATAATTCAACTTTCTTAGAAAAATATAACTGCATAGAAAAATTATAAACTAAAGCAATTCATTCACAGTTTCTATGTATGCTGTACATTAACTCGGACCCTATGCTGTGTGGAAACAGGTATCTTTGGCTGGCAAGGCAGAAGCGATCAAGTGTTCAACTTAAATACTGGCATCAGATCAGAGCTGTCACAGAGTGACATCGCAGCATGGGTGATGCACAGCAGGGTGGTGTCTAAATGAAGTGCAGCTGAAACTTTTCAAGCTTCCTGAATGAAGACAAGGGAACTAAGAGCCATGGTGTTTGAACTTCTGTCTCCACATCCAAAGAGAACCAAAAGGGCAGCTTCTCTCAAGCTGAGAGGCACAGATTTCTGCTAAATTGCAGGAAGGCTGCGTTTCTGCTGGGGTGTCAGCTCAGGGTGCCACACGTCCACGATGAATATCAACCGGAAAGATGAGGCATCCTGCCATACTTCATGCTCAAAGGAGTCATCAAAAATGAGCACTTTGCCTTCTTCCCATGTCCTAGAACAGAAAAAGATGCATTTTGTTAGTACAACTTTGTTTTATTGTGTTCCTGTACCTGGGTTTGAACTTGGGGCCTGGGGACATTCATTAGCTTTGGTACACATCAAGGCTGTCACTCTGCTACTTGAACCACAGCTCTACTTTCAGCTTTTTTGGTGATTAATGGTACGCAAGAGTCTCATAGACTCTGCACACTAAGGCTTGGACTCTCTACTAGGAGGCAGGAACAAATTCCACACTAGTTCTTTTCCAGTAATTGCCAAATGTCTCACATGAAGGTAGGAGATGAGGGGAGTTATTCTCTTTATTCCAGATGAGAACAGTTGATACACTGAAAGAACCTAATTGTAATATTTCCAGCTTATTTCATGACTGATAAAGTAACTAATATTTGCAAGTTCAGAACCAAACCTCTCCTTCTGCTACCCACCTGTCTATTTCCCCAGCTGTAACACCCACTGACATCTCAAGGTTAGCAACTTTCATTCTGTAAATGCATGTTGCTTCTGAGAGTAGATAGAGCTCCATCCAAGGGTAAGAAAGGCAGAAAGAGAGACTCAGGAGTAAATAACAGGGTATGTACTCAGAACTATGCAAAACCAAAATTAAACAAAAGCTAATTACAAAGAAAAAAGGCAAGAGTAAAACAAACAACAAAATTCCAACCTTCCCAAATGGGAAATTATTTATAGCTTAAAAAGTTCGTTTTCTTTGTCAAAAGGACTGCCAGTGAGTGTCATGGACAGTCCTACAATATAGGCAGAAGAAAAGGGATGGCAAATACCCAATACAAAGCAGTGTCCATGTCCACCCAGCACTGGTACATCAGTCAAAAGACATGAACGACCCATGTGTCCCAGGGCAGATTAATGGGTAAATAAAATGAGGTATAAACATACAATGAAAAATTATTCAGCCTTAAAAAGGAGAGAGAGCCAGACACTGGTGGCTCATGCCAGTAATACTAGCTGTTAAGGAGGCTGAGATCTGAGGATCATGGTTCAAAGCCAGTCCAGGCAGGAAAATCTATGAGACTCTTATCTCCAATTAACCACCAGAAAACAAGAAGTGGAGCTGTGGCTCAAAGTGGTAGGGCCTAGCCTTAAGCAAAAGAGCTCAGGGCCATGAGTTCATGCCACATGACCAACCGAGAAAAAAAAAAAAAGGAGAGAAGATTCTGACATATATTATGACACAGATAAATCTTAAGGAAATTTTTCCAAGTGAAAGAGGCCAGTCACAAAGGGCTATACTCTATGAGGTTCAGAGTAGTCAGAACCACAGATACAGGCAATAGCTGCCAGGGATTATGGGAGGGAGATACAGAGTGAATATTCAATGTTTAATATTTAATGTATATGTTTTTTACAAGACAAAACAGTTCTGGAGATGGATGGTAGTGGATGAACTTTATGCCATGAAACTGAATACTTAACAGTAAAGTTGAAGGCCTAGAGTTACGCTCAAGTGGTCTAGCACCTGCCTAGTAAGTATGAGACCTTGAGTTCAAATCCCAGTACTGCCCCTAAAGACACAAAAAGAGTTAGGATGTGTATATTTATCATAAGTATATAAGAAAAAAATCCCATAAATAAACAAGGAGAGCAAAGAAGAGCATTGCACTTCTGATGAAGCACAAATGAAGAGTGTGACACAAGGGGAAAGCTATGCTCTTTGAAGGGAAGTAGAAGTATGCTCTTTGAAGGGAAGTAGAAGTAAACCTGTTGGCTCTTACATGACGAACAAGGAGGTATTAATGGTCTTTGTTTAATGTGGGGGTATACTATAAATTGAAAATATCAAAAATCACGAATTTAATACAAAAATTTAAAAACCCTAAATCTGTGATTCTGCTGAGTGTGTATCTGTCTTGTACCATTGAAAAGTTTTTTTTCTGTATATATTTTTTATTGTAAAAATACTGTACAGAGGGTTACAGTTACATGAGTAAGGTAATGAGTATATTTCCTATTGAGCATTGTTACCTCCTCCTTTGTTTTTCCCCTGCCATCCCTTCCCTCCCCAAATCCTCCGGCCTAGGGGAGCTCCTAGGGGAGTTCTATGTGTAGTCTTTTCAAGAACCTCCACAGTGCTTTACAAAGTGATTGAACAAGTTTACACTCCCACCAACAGTACAGTAGGGTTTCCTTCTGATCACATCCTCTCCAGCATCTGTTGTTAGATTTCTTGATTATAGCCATTCTAACTGAGGTGAGGTGGAATCTCAATGTTGTCTTGATTTGCATTTCTTTTATGGCTAGTAAAGTTGAGCATTTCTTTATATGTCTATTGGCCCTTATTATTTCTTCTTCAGGGAAGTTTCTCTTTAAGTCTTTAGCCCACTTATTAATCAGGAAGTTGTTTCTTTGAGGATTTATTGCTGGGAGATTTAATTTTTTGAGTTCTAAGTGTATTTTAGATATGAGATCCTTGTCCGTTGTATGGCTAGTGAAGATCTTCCTCCCAGTCCATAGGCTTTCTATTGATCTTGCTAGCTATGACCTTTGCCATGCAGAAGCTCTGAAATTTCATGCAGTCTCATTTGGCCAACCTTTCTTTGATTTGTTGTTTCTGGGTCTCTATTAAGAAAATTTTGGCCTGTGCCAAAGAGCCCTAGAGTTTCTTCGATTTCTTCCTGTAATGTTTTCAGAGTGTCTGCTTTGACTTTGAGGTCTTTGATCCATTTGGAGTTGATTCTGGTGCAGGGTGATATATAAGAATCTAGCTTTAGTTTTCTACAGGTGATTAACCAATTTTGCCAGCATCATTTATTGAAAAGGCTGTCTTTCTTTCATTCTACTTTTTTAGCTCCCTTATTGAAGATTAGGTGGCTATAGGTCTGTGGGTTCATTTCTGGGTCTTCAGTCCTATTCCATTGGTCCTCAGGTCTGTTCTTGTGCCAGTACCAAGCTCTTTTTTATTACTATAGCTTTGCAATAGAGTTTGAAATTTGGAATTGATATTCCTCCAGTGCTATTCTTCCTGCTAAGGATTGTTTTTGCTATTCCGGTCTTTTATTGTTCCATATGAATTTTTGGATTGCTTCTTCTATTTCACTGAAGAATGAGGTTGGGATATTGATAGGTATCTCATTGAATTTGTAGATAGCCTTTGGCAGTATTGCCATTGTCATGATGTTAATCCTCTAAATCCAGAAGCATGGGAGGTTTCTCCACTTCCTTAGTTCTGCTTTAATTTCCTTTTTCAGGTTTTTAAAGTTTTCATCATAGAGGTCCTTTACTTCTTTAGTTAACTCCTAGGTATTTTATTTTTTGTGGGGCTATTACAAAAGGGGTTGCTTTCCTTATTTCCTAATCTTTCCTAAAGAGCCATGCTCTTCTCGTTATTGGCATACAGGAAAGCCATTGATTTGTGAGGGTTCAAATCAGCTTGAGTAACTTGGGAATGGAATCCATAGAGTTCTTTAAACACAAGATCATGTCATCTGCAAAGAGGGAGTTTTACTTCATCTTTCCCTATTTGGATCCCCTTTATGTTTGCATCTTGTCTTATTGCTGTAGTTAGGCATTCTAATACTAAATTGAAGAGGAGTGGAGAGAGCAGACATCCTTGTCTCATTCCTGAATTTAGAAAAAATGGGTTTAGTTTTTTGCCATTAAGCATAATGCTGGCTGTAGGTTTGTCATTTACAGCCTTTATTATATTGAGGAATGTTCCATGGATTCCTAGTTTTTCCAGAGCTTTCATCATAAAGGGGTATGCTTTTTCTGTATCTATTGAGATAATCATGTGGTTCTTATCCTTGCTCTTATTGATGTGATGAATTGTATTAATTGATTTGCATATATTGAACCAGCTTTGCATCCCTGAAATGATGTTTGATCGTGGTGTAAGATTTTTTTTTGATGAATTATTGAAGTTGATTGACCAAAATTTTGTTGAAAAGTTTTGCATCGATGTTCATCAAAGAAATGGGTCTACAGTTCTTTTTCTCTGATGAGTCCCTGCCTGGTTTGGGGATAAGGGTTATGATAGCTTCATAGAAAGAGTTTGGTAGTGAACTTTCACTTTCAATTTCATTGAAGAGTTGGAGGAGTATTGGTGTGAGTTCTGCTTTGAAGGCCTTGTAGAATTCAGCAGTAAATCCATTCGGTCCTAGGCTTTTCTTGGGTGGGAGGTCTCTTATTGCTGTTTCTATTTCGATGCTTGATATTGGTTTAAATTGGTTTAAGTTGATTTAAATCTTTTTTTTTTTGGTCGGTCTTGGGGCTTGAACTCTGGGCCTGGGCACTGTCCCTCAGCTCTTCAGCTCAAAGCAAGCACTCTACCACTTGAGCTACAGCGCCACTTCCAGTTTTCTGGTGGTTTATTGGAGATAGGAGTTTCACCGTCTCTCTTGCCCGGGCTGGCTTTGAACTGCGATCCTCAGATCTCAGCCTCCCGAGTAGCTAGGATTACAGGCGTGAGCCACCAGTGCCAGGCTGATTTAAATCATCTTGGTTTAGTTTTGGCATGCTAATATTTGCTAGAAATTCGTCCATATCTTTCAGATTCTCAAAAGTTTGAGAAGTATTCCCTTATACTGTTCTGATTCTTGGTTTTTTCTGTGGTGATATTTCCATTCTCATCTCTGAGTTTATTTGGGTGTGTTCCTTTTTTTTCCTCATAACTAAAGTTCTATTTTGGGGGGGGCTTATTTTGAATATTTAAGTCATTGTATTTTCACCTGCACACTTGTTATAAGGATTAGCATATGACTGCACATAGAAGACATGTAATTTGTAGTAGGGCTTACAAAACAAAAGAAGGAAGAAAATAAGGGAATAATAGGAAAAAATAAAGAGATGAAATGCTGGAAGTATGTAACATTACTAAGAATTGCTTTGATGTCACTTGTATTAAATTTGCCACATGTCAGATTCGATGAGATATCTTTAATGTGGCAATGACAAGTCATGCTCAAAGACAACTGGGTGGCATAGAATTTAGAAGCTATCTAACATGGAGCAAATAATTAAAATAACAAAGTAGAGAAT